TCGCCTTCCCTATTATAGAAATCATTGGACATCACTCAGGAAACGTAGTTTTCTTTTAAACAGATTCAACACGTATTGCTGCCCTCTGTGATTCAGTTGGAAACCTTTCCAAAATCTGAATTCACATAAATGTACATACTGGGCCACTATTCACCTCAATATTATTAAACAAAATCTTCCCCATTGTGTTATTTTGATATCGGAGTATCTAGTCCCTCTATCGACACAAGTATCATTATTCATGTTAATTGTTATCACATCATCATCATCATCATCATCATCATCATCATCATCATCATTGCCATCACCTTCATCATCATTAGAAAGCTTCATTTGAAATTGCAAACTATATTCCGCTACAGTTCTTTCTTTCTACAAGTTTTTTTTTTAAAAAAATAAAAACTCCGTCGTTTTTCTTTTTCATTTTTGTGTGAAACATTGCAGAGAGCTTTATGTATTCACCCTTTCCCATTAGATTTTCCTGTCCAGTCTAGCCAGGTAGTATATGCAAATTTAGCCAATTCATTTTAACACGTTGCAGGAAATGGTAGCCTGTATTTCTTGCCTGAAACTTTAATCATATTAATAGGCATTGACACAACATAGTGACTAAAACAGGGTATTCATGTTGTGTCCATCGGTTTAATTCTGAGCTTGGGGGTCTCACTGTTTTTGCTTTTGTCACACGCATTAGAAACGTTTTTTAAACACCCTTTTAGGCATAGCTATGAAGCAAAGGAGAAGCAAACATTAGTTACGTTTTATAATGACATCAAGAATTTGTTTTTGTCAGTTTGGAGAAGATTTTTGGTGATGAGGACTGGCAGTTTGAAAACTGAACAGCGATGTTATGGCCGTTCGATCGATCGAGACTGGAGACGAAGTAACTTTTGATATCACGACTGAATCATGCTAGTCTGTCGTCTTTTTCGCTTTATTTTTTCCACCTGTTAAAGGATAATTTGCGGTATATAATGCATGGGCGAAAAGTGCACTTTTAATAACTTATCTTTACAAAAAAAAAACCTAGTATGAAGACTGTGTAAATTTGTGACATAGTGTAATCAGGGTAGAGTCTACCACCAAATCAAGCAGGTCTCACACTACGACTGACTTGTTTTGTTTGCTTTCAACTGAGAAACCAAAAGAGTTTGCCACATTACTGCCTGTTTAGTACCAAAAGAACACACTCAGAAGTGTGCTCGGTCTCTTGTTACATTCATGTATATTTTTGTTTCAGTGTTATTCACATTTGTAAGAAAGATCGAGAAACAGCTAATGGATCACATGAATTAGTGGCGTGCTTATGAGCTACTTCATTGTAAAGGATATTGAAAGATTTATCATGAACTAATCATGTAATTCACTGAAGTAAAACAAAATCCTGATCGAAACTTAATTGCAACAGAGTTAGAAATGCAATTTCACTGAAATAAAACATGTGCTGCATGTTCAACATAACAAAGGCAAGGTTGCACAGTCTGTTTAATAACTAAGTCGGCCATTTCATACCGCC